TGTGTACTACAGGCATCGATGGGAAGAAAACCATGGCACTGGAGGCAGGAGGTGCCATTGAGAGAAATAGGGGGCTCAGCAGGTGTAAAATCTGTTGAAAGAAGGGGCATGGGGTTAATGGGCTCAAACTGATATTCTCTCTATCTTTCCTTGTCCTGTTAGGTTCATGTACTGGACTGACTGGGGCATGTCTGCTAAAATCGCCAAAAGTGGTTTGAATGGAGTGGACAATTTTTCCTTGGTGACAGAAGGCATTCAATGGCCTAATGGAATAACACTTGGTATGTCCTGTGTACCTATGCAGAATTTCTCTAAGAATAGCTTGGGACAGATGGAAAGCTTGCATGAGTCTGGGAGGCAGTTTTGCATTTTTCCATCAGTTTCCACTGCAAGACAGACCCCCCTCTCCTTCATGCTGTCATCCCCTTTATACAAATTGAAGCAACTAAATCTACATTTAGTTCCTAAAACAAGGTGCTTGGGGAATGGGTCACTTGTTTTAGACTGAAATTGCACTTCTTAGAGGCTTTGATTCTAGGCTAAAACAGGGTAGCACTCCCTACACACCTTATTTTAGCAGCAAAATGATGTTTGTTTTTTTCTGCCATGCCACCAAAAAAACAACAGGAAAATATCTATTGGGAAAGTCAGGAGCTGCAAAAATTGTTTGCAGATTCAGGGCTGACTTTGTTTCAATAACAGAAGCAGAATTTGGAATATTGCTTATTTTAAAAGTAATTGGTTTTGTTGCTCATTACTGCTGCCAAAGGTAATTGGTTTCTGTTAAGAGTTTGCTTGGGAAAGGTAGCAAGAGAAAAGATTGAGATCTTAAAGATATCAGGATTTTCCACAATGGCAAGGAACCAAGCATAGTTCTTAGAAATTGCTAGGGTAGGGAGGTATTATTGAAATGCATGGTGTTTCATCAGCAAACATCTGAGCACATCTTCTTGGAAATTTGCAGCATCCTGAAGAAGTGTGACAGTTGTGTATAAAATAAGGATTTTAGAGCTTGATATGGAGAATCTAAGTTGATGGCCTTTCTTTGGAACTTTTGGCTCTGTTTGAAAGTTGCTCCCTATAGCAAAACATCAAGGGATGCAGTGATAAGTTAATGAAATATTTGTTGCCCAAGTATCTTGCTCTCTATTCTCATCTCTCTCGTTTGACTAGTCTCTTTGCATATAAACAGAAAGATATAATTTCCTGCCTCTTTGACACTTGTCTTTTCTGCTAGACTTGGTCAACCAGCGCCTCTACTGGGTAGACTCCAAGTACCACTCAGTCTCCAGCATTGATGTGGATGGAGGAAACAGGAAGACCATCCTTGTGAATGAGGAAAAGTTGGCTCACCCTTTTGCCATCACAGTCTTTGAGGTGAGGCATGATATGCCTGAATGCATTTGGGAATGCCTGTAGTCAAAAGATGGAGCTACAGGCTGTGCCTTTTGCATTTGAGAGACTGAATGAGCTCCTCTCTTCTTACCCCAGTTTCTTGCAAAACATACCCCTTCCCTCCACCAAAACAATTGCTTAGCCATCATTGCTCCCTTTCAAAATGTCTGTTTTCTCTGCATAACGTCTATTTTGAGGAGATGGAAGTAGTTGCTTTTAGTCTTGAAATCTTCTGAACACTTGCTTCTAACTCTTCCTCTGGTTGGCACATGAGACAGTGGCTAAGAATTGCAGGGGTACATTAATTGGATTTAATACTGCAGAAGCACAACAGCAGGGCAGGGCAAATTCAGAGGAACCTAGAAGTCAGTTTTTGGCCCTGAGGTTCTTTGAAGTCACAAGACTACCAACAAGCAAACAAGAACTAAACTGGAAGTAGCTAAAAGTCTGCGTCTGGTGTTCCTGGAAACTACTTATGACAGAAAAAGGGCAGTTGCAAAAGATGCAAAACAGCCTTTCAGGACTGCATGGAGCCCTAGGATGTACTTTGTCCAATTCTATATGAATCTGAGCCCTTATAGAGTCATAAAATCATAGAGTTAGAAGAGACCTCAAGTTCCAACAATAAAACAATAAAAGTAGAGCTTGGAACGCCACTTTTAAAAAGTAAAATTATTAATGGCAAAGCTAATTTATTAACAATTTTTAGTTTTTTAAAAAAATTCATGTCACTTTGCTGAGTGTATGTTGCAATTTACAGTTACTATAGAACAATGGCCAGAGAGATTTTTCTCTATTTTACTTTTAGACTTGGGCCCTGGGTAGCTCAGAACAGTTGGCTGTTCTGACTCTGTTGCTCTGCCCAGATTAGACTGACTAATGTGATGATATGAGTACTTCTGGAGTGGCTGAAGTGATAAGCAGAGTTCTAATTTCTCTCTCAAATATTGAATTGTCACCCAGGATAAAGTATTCTGGACAGATGTTATGAATGAAGCTATTTACAGCGCCAACCGGATGACAGGCTCAGACATTGTCAAGGTGGCACAGGACCTGTTTTCTCCAGAGGATTTGGCTCTTTTCCACTCTGTTCGGCAACCAAAAGGTATCGATTCATGTGGCTGTCTTAAGCCTGCTCCTTGCTGCATATATAGGCATGTTTCCCCGTTCCCTTCTTCATATCCTTCCACTTTTGTACAGTGTATTTTAGATTGTAAGCCTGCCAGTGGGGTCTGTTGAAAGATATAGCCATGCTAGTCTGGAAAATAAGAATGTAGAGAGATCTTGTAGCAACCTTGAGACTTACTGAAAGAAAGAAGTTGGCAACATGAGCTTTCATAGACTTAAGTGTACTTCATCAGATGTATTTGGTAGTCATAGTGTAATGCATCCACCAAATGCATCTGAGGAAGTAGACTGAAGTCTACGAAAGCTCATGCTGCCAACTTCTTTCTTTCAGTGAGTCTCAAAAGTGCTACATGATTTTTATCCAGTGGGGTCTGTGTTTTGCTTTGTGATATGTATTTAAAAGCAATAAGAATAAAAAAAAAGTAAACACACACACAAAAAGTGTCCAAATGTCAGAAGAAGCTGGATGCGAGCATTTAACTTTTTTGCATACTTGTGAAAAAATGTTAAAATTGCATACTTATATCTGGTTGTTCCCTATCCTATTTTGCAGGTGTGAATTGGTGTGAAAGGAGTGGCGTTCCTAATGGAGGTTGTCAATACTTATGCCTTCCTGCCCCACAAATCACCCTCCACTCAGCCAAGTACACTTGTGCCTGTCCTGATGGCATGCACCTGACTGCAGATATGAGAAGCTGCACAACAGGTACGGATGCAAAGTGGGCAGCACTACAACAGGGACCATTCACCAAGTTGTGTTTGTGGTGAATGAGAGGGAATATGTGTCTGTGAAAGAAAGGATATGTGCTTTCTGCAAAACTGGGAGGAATGCTCATTTTGACGTTGGCACTGATGCACTGCCTTATCCACTGCACAGATCCTGTTGTCCCTGATGCCACAACGTCTGTTGCTGCCCCAGCTCTGCCTGCAAGGACCACACCTTTGGTGCAGCTTCTCCCCACATCTAGGGCTCCAAGACCAACAACTCAACCTCTCCCTGTCACTACTGTGCCAAACAAACATGCCCCTGACAGCCCTGAACATACCACCTCTGAAATGGTCACCCTTTCCCAGCAAGGTAAGAGGGGCTTGTATTTTCAGCCAGTTGCTCTTTACCAAGACCCTTCAAGTACTAGTCCTGCAAGTCCTTCAAAGCTTCTGCACCTTTTTGGGAACTTTATTTGGTGGATTATACCTGTGGCTGATGCTCAAGTGATTTGTCATTTTAGTTGTTGGGATCTTTTGCCTTTCAGTATGTGTGGAAGTGAATAATATTGGAGTTCTGCCTGTGATTTGGATGGTGCTACGAGCCACTGTGATGTAGTGGTTTGAGCGTTGGACTAGGACTCTGGAGACCAGGGTTCAAATCCCTGCTCAGCCATGAAAACCCACTGGGGGGCCTTGGGCAAGTCACACATTTTAAGCACACTCAAGTGAAAGCAGAGGTGCACATTCCTGGATCTTGTCAAGAAAACCCATGATGGGTTCACCTTAGGGTCACCATAAATTGGAAATGACTTGAAGGCACACAACAACAACAAAGCTGAAATGTTTTCACAATGTGAACATTGTTGTTTTGTTTCACTACTTTGGAAAAGTTCCTTTTTGGACTACAACTCTTAGAATCCCTCAAACAAAATCTGTCCATGCCAGCGGGGGAGATTTTTGAAATCTGCAATCCAAAAAAGGTAACATTTTCAAGTTAGTGAGAAAGCAGCAGATTTTTGCACTATGAAAACACCGTAGCTTAGTGCCATCTTGTGGTTTTCTGCCCTAATGTACCTTAGTACTTTGCCTATATTTTGTGA